TAGACAGTTTGTGTAAATATTTTGAAAGAACGTACCTGTGTGAAAAACTTCTCATTTGTCATTTGTTATCTCATCATTAATGATGTTAAAAGAACAACATGAAAAGGACACTTGAAGCAGACAGAATAGGTCTACGTATTCAGGAAATAATAAAATATGCTTAAAAGCCTATATATATATCAGGAAAATAGCAAAATAATACGGAAAGTTTACAGATTCGAAAAATGATAAAATCTGGCTGTAGATTATATGAAATATATATTTGAGACAAATATCAAAGTACACTTAAATATCTGTATATGCGAGAAGTAATGAAAATGTTATTGAAAGCTCATATATTCGGAAGATGAAATCCGTAAAGTTTTAATTTAGATCAGAAAGTAAAAAATTAGCGTTGAACGGTAAATATCATAAATGGTATTAGTAGCTGGTATTAGGCTAACAATTTTACAGTTATTAGCCGAATAAATCAATAATGATCATATGATGATAATAGAAGAAATCCTTAAATGATGATATTCCTTGTATTAATAAGAAAATAAGAAGAGAATGATGCAGATTTTGCATGTGTGCTTAATTATAAAGTTGAAATTTGAATGAAATTATTCAATAAAATCAACGATGACCTAAAAAGAAATTACAATGAAACAATGCAAAGGTACCACAAATTAATAATATCGGTGATATTGGTGAATTTTCTTTACTGGAAATAATAACTGCTAATAATTGAGAAATTATTAGAGAAAATTATTTGATAATTGAAAAATTAACATCCTATCTGATATGTCAAATATTTGAGAAATTATTTGTTCGGAAATTTTTCAAATGAATGGTTTTGAAAAAATCGAATAATTGTGAAATTTAATTCAATCTTCAATTGATCATTTTTCGATATAGAAAATTTTTTAATACTGATGATAGATTAAATTTCCCTATTAATTTGCTATTTATTTTATTTCATGACAAAATTTGCATTAAGTTTTTTTTTGAGAAATCTCAAATCTAAGTGCATATGACCTAAATTTTAAATTTTGTATTAGTGTGAGAGAATATTTTTTGTTGAAGAATGAATGAATGAATGGTACGGCATATTGATGACATTGTTACCAACCAACCAAATCATGTTTTGTGAGCATAAATCGAAGCGTTTTGTTAGGAACATTATTTCATTCTGTAAATTAGTGATATTTCAAAAATTATTAATTTAGCCAAAAATTTTAAACCTAATTAAAAATTCTTAATCTTTCATTGTTTTCTTCCTCTTTTTTTAAATGATATTTTTTATGATATCATTTTTATTTCAAACATTTCTTCATCATCACTCTATCATTTTTTTTGTTTTAACAGTAATAATTATGTTAATTAGATGAAAATGCTAATAATTTAGATGAATGAAGAGAGGAAGAGAAAAGAATGAAATAAAGAGAAAAAATGAGAAGAGAGTATAAAAAGAAAGAGAAAAATAATATCATAGAATTGTTTTATATTCGTAATTTTTAATAGTTTAAATATAATTTCAAATATTTTAAACGGTACCTTTAAATAAGAAATCATATGTAAAATGTAGAATATTTTCAACAACGTAAAAAATCCTAAAATAACTATTTGTAATACAAAAAGCATAAGATATAAAGTGTAAAAGTTGACAGTTAATTAAATTAGTAAATGAAATGATTAGAAATATTTATTACAATTTCATTTGTTGCAAAGAAAATTTTGCAATAAAAAATTTTTTTAATTGCAAAATTTATGATTTCGATGAATGAATAATTATCGATACATATCTATCTATCTATCTATTCATTAAAGTATTATCATCCGTTTTATTGATAAATCGGCTAATATACTATCTAAGCGAATATTTTCGTTTTAAAGAAAAAACATGAAATAAAAGTACGAACTAAAATGTATACTTAGTTATTACAACATAGCACGCAACAGTATGATGAATTTGCCCTACAACGACTCAAACACTAATTTTGATCAAGTAACGAAAATTAAAATAATTTTATAAATACAAAAATTTTTAAACAATTAATGTATCTTAATGCTCTTATTGTTTAGGTCTTAGAAATCGTTTGTCTCAAATATTCTAAATCAGTCAAATGATCCGATACATTTGTTTAATATCTTAATTAATTATTCTAAAAAATACTGCAAATAATTAATATCAAATAAATCACTTTTCACTTACAGCTTTATCTATTAAAAGTTTAATCATCATTTACCCTCTGTAAACGAATACCGCTAATGATTTATATCTTATGTTTACCATTGATAACTATTAGTATCAAATGACTTCATGACCTTTTTTTCCCATCTTTAGTTCGTCTATAAGATGACATCTTTAGTTCATCTATAAGTTTACGATAAAACAGTGCTCATCGAGCATTCCTACAAACTCGAAAGGAGTGTGTATCTCAGTGTAACTTATGAATGGTGCAAGAAGGTCATAAAGTTATGCTCCCAAATTAATTTGTCATGTCACATATCTGAATTAATTTCTCCCAAATTATTCTCATCAATAATAGTAAAGAAGAATAATCAAAGTGGATCGACTCAAATTAACTATACTTTCTGATAATTAATATTATAACGTTAAGAATCAGAATAAATACATTTTTTATTATTAAGAAAGAATAAATAAACAACCTTCAAATGATCATCTTCTGCTAAAATAATACACTTCATAAATTAAAAAAAAAAAAATTTCATGATATTTAAAGAGCAATTAACAGTATCGCTTCAAAAATCAAATGAAGAAAAAAAGGAGGAAAATGTTGAAAAGCTAGACATGGATCGACAACTATCATCAACAATGTTTTATTTCATTTCAATTTAATGCTATATGCTCTATAAAAGGAAAGAAACGATGAAAGATTGATTAAATCATTGTTGAATAAAAAAATATCATTAAAAATGAGTAGCATACATATACAATATGAATTGATGGATGGATAGATGGATAGATGGATGGATAAAATTTACAGCAACATTTTTCAATTTCTCAACTATTTAATGATAAATAAATTTTTCCTTAATTTTTTCATCTCTTCAAAAATACCATTTATTACATCAATTTCATCAATTTAATTTCTAAAACATTTAATTTCAGTTTGGTGGGAAAAAAAAAAGGAAAAGGAACAAAAATTCGCGAATAAATAAATAAATCGATTAATTAATCATTTTCAAAAAAATTTACTTATCGATTAATAAATAATATTTTTAGATGATAAAGAAGAAAGAGTTTGTTGAAGAAATTTAACAATCAATCAACAAAAATACATCATATTTTATAATGGAAAAAGAAAAAGAAAAATTGGGTATTTGATCTAAAATTTATTTAAATTTAATTCCAAAAAACTTTTTTTAATAAATCTAAACAAGTTAGAAAAGAAAGAAAGAAAGAAAGAAAGAATACGACTAACATATTAATTTCATCAAAAAAAAGAAGAAGGAAACAGTAAATGCATCATTTCAATTTAAAATAGAAATTGTATGTATGAGTTTGTCAACCGAATGTAATAATACATTTAATAAAGTGAAATGGGGGAGAGATAATATTTTTCGTTTTGATATTTTTTGAAAAATTTTATCACGGGTGAAGGAAAATGTTTATATTATAAATTTGTTCAATAATAAGCAAGGAAATGAATTAATTAGGGTTTAATGCTATTGACAATCACATTGATCATTTGTTTAATTTAATTTATATTCAAATTAATTGTAAATAATTCGATTCGACTTTCTACAAATAAAATAATGATAAAATTTACAATAGAAATAATTTCGAATATTGAATTTTTATTTTCTTATCTTTAATTATTGATCGATTATTTAGTTAGCAAATATTAGTATAGTACAATAACTGCTGAACTTTGAAAAGGATCAATCTTCTTGTTAGTTCTACAATGTATACTTTGTATTTATCAAACCTTCATTTATATATGTTTAGATTTTTGTTTGCTTAAAAAAAGAAAAACTTTCTTTCAAATATTAAAATTTGCTATCAATCCAATTCGGAAATTTTCATTTGTTAGATACCTAAACTTGGAGTATTATTTCGGATTTTTATTATGATCGTGCTGATTTTGTTAAATTTTCAACTTTATTTTTCGTCGGAATTAAAATAAAAATTTCGATGAAATATTGAAATATTCCAATATTATTTTATCTTACCAGATCTTCATTAATACAGCAACATGATAAGATATGTATTTCAGTTCTTAGTTCTCTTATTTTAAGCCTTTACCAAAATAATGCTATTATTACTACTAGATATTTTCATAAAATTCCTCTCACTATCGATGATTTAAACTGGTAGCATCAAAACAGTTACGGTTGAAATGAAGTCAAATGCACATGCCGTGTAAAAAATTCGTTCAACTCAGGAAGAGCAACATTCTAACTTCTGATGAATTTTTTTGAGAAGCAATAATGAGGGAAGAGATGGTCAGCAAATCAGATGTTACTGGAAAATTGGGAAATACAAAAAATATTAGCTTGAACTGATTACAAAACTTTCATTATTTCAAAATAAGATTTAATGTCAGTTGATCAAAAAAGTAATCATATCGAAGCCAACAGTCAATAAAGAAAAGGATAATGGAAAAACATGGGTTTCCCTAACCGTTATTAATCCAAAGAAAATTTTAAGTGTAGGATTCCAGTTTGACTTGCACTACAATTCTGATTAGTTTTGACCATGTATTTGCTTATCTCTCTGTTAATAATTTCTTCTCACTGTTGCCAAATACATAATTGATCTCCAATTTTGTTTCATTTATACCATGATTTTAGAAATTTTTAGTTGATGTGATAATACAAATTAAGTGTTGTGTTTCTAAAAATGAAGATAATTACAATGAAGAAAGAGAATAAAAAAATGATAAAAAGATCTAAATCAAAATACAAAAAAAATTTTCAATAATAAACAATGAGAAGAGCGCAGTACTGGGTAATTTCTTCAAATGATGTTTTGGAGACCTTCGATCCTTCTGCTATTTTGTACAATCCTTTCCTGGGAAGGGTATCTTTCCTTCGATAATTTTGCCAAGATCTTTGAATGATGCTTGTTGTGATCCACGTTTTGCTGGTTTCGGCATTAAAGGACCGGGGCGCCAACCAATAAATGAAACAATTTGGAAACTTGCTGGACATGGAGCATCGTCGCGAGAAAACATTGCCCTGAAATAATTCTGTTTTACATATAAACAAGCAACATTTGCACAACAAAAACAAACATTCTTTGCCATAATTGTATTTATAAAGCATGCTTACCTATAAATAGCATCAGCAGCTATTAAAATATCTCTCCTAACGTGCGCTGATCGATTTCGTAATGCATTTGACTCACCCATACCTTGTAAATCATAGAGTAGAGCAAAGATGTTCGGATAACCGACCTGGAAAAAAAATGGTACATTAAAAATTAGAGAAAACAAAATTCAACCTGAAAAAAACTCCAATTTCCGATGGAATTTAATTTTCATCAGCAATATTATTTGCCACTTAGTTCAAATTTATATTATTTTCAGTGTCATTGAAAAGAAAATTTCTAATTAACTAGGTGTTATTTTAAAATGAGAGTATTATTGTTACCGTAAGCTCATCGGTGTCCAATGTAATCATTCCAAAACCAGCCTGACTCATCAATGACCCGACATCATCTGCCCGAACAAACGGTGAAATATGTAAACCAATGCCGCCCAACCTTTCCATTTCAGCTAACTGTAAGGCTATCCTAAGTTCGTGTAGTGTTTCATTGGCTAGCATAGCACCAATCAGAGGGCAATCAGGACGGAGGATTGATAAACAATGTGAAAACCTAAAATCCTGCAGAACGAATAACTCGAAATGAGTTCATTATATTAAAATCAAAATCTCGATTCCACATCTCAACGTCGAAAAATAAAATCTCTTGCAAAATAAGTCAAAGAGATACAAAAATGCGTTGAGATATCATAGCCATGTTACTCATAACTCTTTCCTTTCCAGAATATTTGCAGCTATTATTACTGAACAAAGAAAATTTATTACTTTAACGAAACTAATCAGTTAACATACCCTATGAGATAAGTAAACTACAAATGAATAATGTTAAGAGACGATATCAGTGTTATAAAATGGTGCTAATTATAACACTGGTAAGTGATAACGATGTTTTGCATCTTCTTTATCTCAAAAGGCTGATAGAACAAATAAACACAAACCATTTAGCGAGATCATTAATCCAATGAGCACTAAGACTAGATACCACCAAATCAGCTGATTCTTCCCGGAAAGGTGCCAATGATTCGTCTGCAATGATGCTCAAAACAGATACTTCAGGATCCGCCGCACTTCTACTTCGTCGTATCAGTCCTGAGCTTATATCACATTGAATGATGACACCCACATTTTCCTGTGCATTATAGATATTTCAACCACTATCATTTACAGTTTGTTTATAGGTAATTTCAACCCCTTCCATGCAAATTGGTTTATCATATCCAGCTTTTATCGAGTTATTTTCTTGACGAATTTCCTATATAAGAAATGAAATTATGAAATTTTACTGTAATTACAAAGAAATTAGATAGCAGACCTTCTGCTGGAAAAATGACTGTGTACTGAAGAAAGAGTCTGCAAATTTTTTTCAGAAGCCTTATAATGCTAGCAGATAAATTGTTCCAATAAATTCATGTTGTCCATGAATCGTCTTCATTCGCCAATATTTACAAATCGGCATCACTTCGGTGGTTTACATTCACCATGACTTAACTATTTCTATTTTCAAATCATGATATACAATCAGTTAAGCTACTCAATAACTTGTATATTAATTTTGTAAAATTCTTTGAAAATTATTAAGCCTAAATCACCAGTAAAAATATTACTGTTGATCACCAGCAAAAATAGATAACAATGAATTTACAATCACCTTAATCAAATTCATCGCAACATGGCCACTACCGCATCCGATATCAATGCAAATATCATTGAATTTAGTCAGGTCAAATACTTTATCCGCCACACGATATGCTATTTCATCCTGAAATATATTCATTACAAATGTCTTCAATGATTTCGGAATTCCAAAAGTGAATTGGAAAAGTTTATTTCATCGAAATTTTGAAAATTGAAAAACTACGAAGCTTGCCTGCAAAACTACTCAAGAAAAAATTTGTTATTATTGAATATAATTACTTGACTTCTTTCTTTTAATTTGTCATTTGTCAATATCGAACATCCTTTTATTCAATGAACACTTAATTCTTACGTTTTTCTTCTCACTGCCCAGTTGAACCTGGGCAATTTTATATCACCAACATTTATAATTCGTGCTAATATAAAAAATATTCTTGGATATAAAAATGAAAAATAAATAATAACTGACTTTGACGTACTGACAAACATCATAATCATCCAATTGGGCAGCCCTGTTGCGTTGGATTCTCTTTGCTTCACGATCGAAAATTATGGTACCCTCCGAGACGGTACACAAGAAATGCGCACCAACTATTTTCTTTTTAAGCGATATTTGAGCGAAACATTTCCTCGGATATGTTGACAAATTATGCAATGAAAGTAAAACTGCACGGGAACAAGAAGGCCAAAATGCCATCCTGAAATTAATCTGTCTTCTGAATTATCCCCGTTAAAATTTCGTTTTAAATGTGAAAAAGCGAAAGCACAAACGAATGTGCTCGCATGGATATTATATTGATTTTAATCAAAATCGTTATAACAAATTGAAATCACAAGGAAAATCCTCATAAATGACCGATCTTCTTCTATATTCAAAAAAGATATATAGAATGATCATTCAGATAGTATGAGCAATGTTATTTGAAGTGATCACATATAATAAAACTTATTATCCATATTATACAAAATAGTTTAAAGCTAAGTTATATAATTTGAGCAGAATTAACAGAAATTTGACATAGATAAACATAAATCGTTATGGTTGCCCAGTAAATCATTTAATTTTTATATTTCAGAAATATAAATGAAAAAAAAGAACAGAAGGTTTATTCGACAATCAGATCAGATAATAAAAATAAAAGAAATTATCGAAATGAAAGTTAGTTCATGTACCCAAGCTATATGAAGTACAGAAACCTACCATTATGATATCCCCAAAACATCAATACGGCCTACATAACGTTCTTATTATAAATAACACAAAAGTTTCTAAAATTATGAATGACATTCATATTCATCTGCAAAAACATTTTTACCTATTTAAATTAAATAATTTATTCAACGGTTTCAATCCCGCACATTACCATTTATTATGGAATTTATTTAACTTATCATCCTAAAAAAGCGAAAGTACAAAATTTGCGAATTTGTAGCTGCTTTCCCTTTACGGTCGATCTCATGAAGTTTCAAAAGCTGAATACAATAAATTTATGAAAACTTTTGTCAGCATTCATTTTTAAGCAATCGCAGTTTCCTTAATATCCAAACCCTTCCGTCTTCTATTATTTTAAGTTTTCTTGAAATCTGCGTCTCTTAATTGAGCAATCTCAAACAATCTCAAAATTAAAAAAAAACTTGAATGCATGCTAATATAGTAAAACAATTTCCCGTCGTCTAAGAAGCTTTTAAATTTAAAACGAAAACAAGAAAAGAGGTTTACATAATTCAGTCTGTTTTCAGATTATTACCAGTATAACAATCATGTATCAATATGCAAAATATAACTAAATGAAAGCAGTGAAGCATTGCTGAGCTGATAACTGTCGAAGGATACGTGTTCCAGCATATCTCAATTCCAACCAAAATACAACATCTAAAAGTTCATGCTTTTTCACGCTTATATTGATTTTTTGAATGTTGTAACCTGTCCGTAAGTACTGCGCTCGCTTCTCTAGTCGGCATCTAGCTGTCACTGTGAGCTACAAACTAATAATTTATACTTCAGAGTACGTAAGCAAGCTCTTCGTTTTTCAGTGTAAATGTTTTCAATAGCTAATGCTTATGATTAAATGGAATATACCAAACATCTATCCAATTTTCTAATTTCGTCCATAGTAGGAGGTTCGGTAAAATAACATTGGAAATTACGAATGAAACGGAAAATTCTGTTATGGAATGTACCGTAAGATTATCGACAATGGTGATATGACATCAGTGGACCTGTGAATTTGCGTCACTTTTGATTTACGTCTATAAAAAATGCATTTATATTTTTGTTCATATTAAGAAAAAAATATCCCAAATATTTCCACTGCAATGAAGTTTTATTGTAACATTATATTCAAACATTACTGAACAAAACAAATGATTTACTTTTGCGTGGATGCTACTGTATTCGTCGTGAAGAACCAATCACTATTGAAAGGTAAACCAGCAAACAGCAAATAAGGCAATGTAAAAAAATACCAACTATAAAACTGGTAATGCAACGACCGAGCAACGCTTATACCGATCAAATTTGCTGTGAACAAAGCTATAAGCATTTCTGAAAATTCATCAATTTAAAAAAAATCGATCTAGGCTAGAAAGTTATCATTGTCCAGCAAGTTGTATATATCAAACAGGATACCAGATAAATGTCACTTTATTACATTGCTATAGTTTTTTTCACAACCAGTGATATAGAAACTAAGTGATAAGAGTTATTATACTTTTCAGAACTAAAATAGAACAAACGAAAAAGAAATATTTACCACTAGTACTTAACAATATTTTGCCATAACTCATTATTGATAATATATGCACATATCCCCCATAACGCCTGAAACCATCTATTTTCACAATTTCTTAATTTTAAGTGACATTTCTGTCACCATTTGAAATCGTTCGTAGGGTCAGATGATGGTCATAGTTTGATGATCAGCTATTTCACTCTTTCATATACAACTCAGAAAACTCAATTTTTCGTTGTATTTACGACATTTCACACTTGCTTAAGCAATGCAGCAATTATTATAAGGCAACAGAATGAGAGAAAACAGCTGCATGAACAGACTTTTTGGGATCCAGAAAAGATTTCTAATAACTCAAAAAAATTAACGCCTAACTTGACAAAGACTGAATTGAATGATATGAACAATACCTAAACCATAAGTATCCGGCAAGGAAAAGCAGAAAAATGTGAGTAATCAATAATAATATATGAAATCGATGGTCTAAAAATATCTCTTCCGACAAAAATCGCCAATTTACCGTCCATTTGAAAATAAAAACTCTGCCCAAATCGAAAGATCTTTGTAAATATGAGAATGGATCATGCAGTAAAAATGGAAGTGCCAAGACAATCTGTAAAACATACACATAATCAAATACTAAAAAAAATACTGCTGCAAAAATTCCTAAATATCGAAATTACTACTTCTACTACTACCACTGTACCTTAAGGACATCAGCGCTTAATTTATTTAGTTTCATTTTGATGTAGCGGCAGCACCTATTTTTAATCTGGATTGCATTTGCGGTGGATTTTGGTAAGGTTTTCGATGTAAGAACAATAAATTAAATTGGAAAAATTGGAGTGCTTTGCATTTTCAAACAGCAATACTCCACTTTACAAACACAGAAATAATACTTTTTCATTCTTAACTTTACTCCATTTTCGCAAATGTTAATTGCATGAAAAAGAAAAAAATGAGCAAAAATATTCATTGCAACCATGTATGTAAAATCATTTACCTGAATCATAGCACATAATATAATTATCTTGAACGTATTCCAATAACCAGTATTCAGAAGAAGGATACACAGAAGTGCTGGAGAAAACAACAATATATTCATCTTCACTGATACAGCCAAACTGAAAACAATATTAACTCTTTAAATGAAACGATTTGAATAAAATTATCACAACATTTCAAACCTTCAAAATGAAATTAATTTATAACTAATAAGGCAAAAGAAGGAACCTGTAAAATATACAGCCAATTAGAAAATGACGGCCAATCCAAAAATTGACAGCCAGGTAAAAGAACAACATTGCAACAGGATCATTAAATAATCGAAGAAGATAGATGGAATGAATCCGATAAGACATACAACACAATATAATTAGCACAAACGGAGGCAACTAAAAAAGGAAAAAATGATGAAATAATGCTACATTAACTCAACTAGTTCCAAAAAAAAAAATGAAATTTGGAAATTTTAACTTTCATGGATATGTATGTCTGTCGTATCACTGTAAGGCTGATTAAGGGAAAATGTTTTTCAACGGTAATTCAAATGATGCCAAAAATTGTACCATGTAACGCAAACAAAAAGCTCACAGTAGGCCATGAATTCCTCAAACATAATACGAAATTCCTAAAAAGCTTACTCTATAAGTCATATAATATATGCGAAAAACTAATAATAAGCTTGTCAAGTACAAAAATTCGAAAATATATTGTGCGGTACGAATATCCTTTCCAGCATTGGTGATACGAAAAAGCAGTAAATAAAACCAAATATGTCCAGCCGGATATCTACAAATAAAGTTTTTTTATTCCATTATTTAAAATATCTGAAGTTTATTCCATTATTTAAAATGCAAATTTTTCTCAATGAAATCTGTTTATCTCGCTGTAAATGTCTTTCTCAGATTACCATACTAGTATTGTCAAGTGATTTTATTGCTGGGTAGATTTTATTGCTGGTATCGAAAGTGTTCCACACGCCGAAAAGCATTAAAAAATTACATATATCAACTTTCCTGCCACCAAAACTTTTAAGCTATATCCTACAGTGCTCTACAAATTATATAAAAAATATGAAGTTGTTTAAAAAAAAGAAACTGAGATAAGGCAGGAAATAACTAACACGATAGGACCGGTATCACCTCCAATTTTCGAATAATTACGAATTCCTTGTTCATAGCAACTCACTTGCTGCATATAAGTAGACCAGTCTATTTCAGTGTCTACAAATGTCGTTCTTTTATCGAAAAAATAAACTATCCAAAAAAAACAGTCTCTCTTTGCTTGACGATAGATTTTTTAGAATATTAAAAGAAACTTACATGGCACTCTCCAAATAATCAACGTGCATAATATGGCATCAAATATCCATAGCAATATGGCAAATATTTTGAAATTTACTGGATTAATGTGAAATAAAAACCTAACCAACGGAGACATCTGAAATAAGTTCGTATTACCTCTTATCTGCAATGTAAACTATCCTAGAATTTTTGAAAATCGAATATTAGAGTTACTTGTTTCAGCAAATGCTACCGAGAATTCTAGAAAATTCCTAAAAAATACAATTTTATACTCCTATTTTAGGAAATAATATTGTCATTAAATAGAAATAACACTCATGAAATACAACAATCGTATTCACATTATTACCTAAATATCTCCAATGGTGACTTGACTAACTCATGAGTGTTACATCATCTGCAGTTCTCTGCCAGTCTTGAAGCTTTCACATACTTTCATAAAAAGTCCATGTATCCCTAACAACTGACACACCAGAGACTTCAGAAACTCATGAAATGCGTGATACTCTCTAGACTTCAGCTATTAAATTTTATATAATCCCATTTGCTTATTCCCTTTCATAGCACGACTAAACAGATACAAACCTTTCCAACAAGAACGTTTCTGTTAAACATCTTATACATTTCGGACTCCAACTCCAACTGGCTTCAATGTCCGACCATATATGATATAAAAAACAAAAATCTGCAACAAATGCAAACTTTTCGAATATACTAGTTGTTGAGTTTCAAAAATTGTCACTTTAAAACTGCATCGAACGTATATGTGAATACGATATACAACATTTGATGTGCGCAAGAAAATCTTTCAATGATTTTATTTACTTTACTGAAACAAACTATATTCAAATCAAACATCAAACCAATACAACCATTGCACTAAATTCTTTAACAAATTTCCAAAAAAAATCCACCTGGGAATTCGGAAAAACATCTAGCCACGGAAATTCACCAAAATATTACTGGCCATTTCTTTTCTTTTTCGGACATTTTCCTTCAAATTAAACTTAAATGTCCGCTACAGCCCTCCATCATCCACCTACAAGAATTATCGTTCGTAAATCTCTAGTTTTATAACTCTATTGCATTTAATTACTTTGCTAATCTAGAAAAAATAGAATTATATTTTTGAGAATAAGAAAATTGTTAATTTACGAAAGACACCTAGTTATGAAAATAAATATCGACAAACAACGTTCTTGAGCAAATAGCGTGTTGGACGAAGAATAATTTATTACCGAGAGCAGCATCATTTCATTTGTTTTTCACCTTCGTACGTTTCGTTTACAGAACTTTCCAAAGCACTTTTACGAGAAAAATATCTGATTCATTCTCCCATTTGATATGGCATCAAGTCTTATCTTTACACAAAGACATTACTTTGACTAAGCATGCATTGATATATCACTTTGCGAATTCCATTGATGCTATTAATTGCCTAATCCAAGTCTTCGCTTTGACTAAGCATGTATTGACATATCATTTTGCGAATTCCACTGATGCTATTAGCCTTCCCTAATCCAAATCTTCGCTAATATCAAACCTTCCTTTGACTTGGATAGTTAGCATTTCGGCCTTCCACGCTTCCTGTCTGCAAACAATAATGTATATTTTCAAATTATCAATCAATTTCCTTTGAAAAGGAAAAATAGGTAGGAACACATTACTGACTTCGAACGTTTATCCCGTCATTCATAAAATAATCCACGCGAAGTGGAATAAAAAGTATCCAATCAAGAACATTCCTGTTGAAACCAAAATGACTTAAATCTTTTCATTCAAAGCAATCATTTGTGGAAGACAACAGAGCCGACAAGCCAAACAGAGATGTTCCAAGATTTTCCTTAAAGTCTTTTACATTGTAATTGGTTTTACTTTTTAAGTAATGAGATAAAAAACATAATTCACACATACAATAACTTATATAATATGAAGTTACAATAACTGACAATATGTAATCTTAACAAAAAAAAAATGATACCATAATAATTAATGGTAGTAATATTTACTTATAGTAAAATAATCCCATTATTATACTTATGAGTAACACACAATAATAATAATTTGTACTATGTGAGTGAAGAATATAAATTATGTAACAAACCTTACAAAAGAAGCTGATACGTTGGAAGCCTGAATCGATGTTTATGAAAAACAGCCATAAAAAATTGCCTGACCGTTTTTCCCATACTGCGCTTGTGGTTTTTGTGCCAATTATCTAAAAAGCAATCAGTTGGAACAATTTCTCATAAACTAATAATAAATTGAATCGCTAACCTTATGCTTTCATTCAAGCTTACAATTCAGGAACGAGTTAAAAAAGTTTTAAGGGTTTTCATTGATAACTGTAACATCTGATTTCTGTTACTCTATATTTTCAAGACAGTAAATCAAAAAAAGTGGGAAATTTTCCGAAATTTTTTAATTACCGTAAAAAGAATTTTTTTTCATTTTTCAATGAAAGGCTTCTGCCAAACAATTTCGCGGGCTCAATGCCCTAAATAGCACTTCAGAAGAAATTCTGCATTTTTTCCGGAATTATACAAGCAAAGATTTCAGATCAAATAATCCGAACTAATAATATACTATCGTTTGCTTTTTTATATATCTTAAATGAAATATATGAAATAATAATTAGCAAACAATTTAAAAAAACAACTTAACTAATTGTCTTCTTATCTTTAATTTTAACTTATTTCAACTTAATATATTTGAAAATCTAACTATGGAAAACACAAGAGCACACTGTAGCACCATTACATTAACCCCTCTCCTCAACCTCCCGCCTTCTTAATATCATTGAGCACCTCAACATCACCAACAAGACTAATCAATAACCATCAGTGATTCCAACCACTGGGATGACAGAATTGCATTCGAAATTAATCTGAAAATCATTATCTGTGGTTTAATTTGAGTCTCTCATACTGTTACGCTATTTCATCCCTTATTCATAATCACTGCTTTTTCATATTCTTAAAGCAAAACAGTCTTTTTTTTTACTCTCTATCTCTCACACGCATGATAAACAAGTAGGCACTATTTTCTGATTTCTCTAATATGCCGGCGCATACTAATTTCTTCACGTTTCAATTATTCTCTAATACATTTTACGCGTTAAAAATTTTGAAATTTATAAAGAATTTGTTTATTAATCCCTAATTTAATAGGTATCATAATAATTTAAGATGCAAGAAAAAATTTTTAATTCCAATTCATTCTGTTGATATTTCAAATTTTTGATGAAATCAAAAAATTTCATCAATAATTTGAAATTAATGATTATTATTTTGTTTGTACTCTAAAATTGAAAATAACCTGTCTTTTGAAATTTATATGTTTAAATTAAATGAATTATCAAACATCGAGAATGTGATTGAACTAAACGAAACTGCTCATTAGAAATCATAGATGAACCGGGTATGCTTGAAATTAAATTTAATTGTAGCCAAAATAATCCAAGCTAATGTAAATGTAATTTGATGCATGGTTCAAGTGATTGTTTATTAATCCCTAATTTAATAGGTATCATAATAATTTAAGATGCAAGAAAAAAGTGACAACTTTTGTCACACTTCGATATATTTTAAGTATAATTCATCATTTCCTAATATTAACATTTAAACTTCGCGAAATTTTCTCTTTTTCAGGTCTTCAAAGAAATCAAAGTGACAAAAGTCAAATAATCGCCATTCACATATGTGCACATATAAAATTTCAAATATTTTAGGGGTATCAACAATTTTAGGTGTATTTTTTTAATTTTTATTAAATCTGTGAATAGACATATGCGTCTTCCTTATTACACAAGATTATATCTCACACCGTTGCAAAATGTACTTGCATTCTGAGAATACTGGTGAAGATAAAGAATTGAAGTTATTGAACACCGAAAACAGATATAATGGTTATACATAAGAATACTGGTACCTTCCACTTTTTCATTATTTTGAAATTTATCATATGCTGAAAATTTTTGAAGGGCATCGTTATTATTGGAATCATTTTATAATGATGTATTATGAATATTAAAATTACTTTTACAATCACGCAATTAGACGTTCTATATTTATTTTCTTTTCATGTAATTGATATATAATAGATGAAAATATTTATCAAATGGAAGGGAAATTAGTTGGATTTCGACATATTATCAATGATAATCAAACGTGCATAATTGAAGAATGCTAAATAAAATATCAATCTATTCGAACTAATTAAGATTTAAAAATGGAATGGGTTAAAATAATATTTTTTTCCATTATAAATTATGAGGAAGTCTTGAAATGCTACAATCAATTACTTGTTGTAATTATTATTACGATAAAAATAATACAATATCAATCACTTGTTGCAGTAATTACTACGATAAAAATAAGTCAATATCAATCACTTGTTGTAACAATTATTACGATAAAAATAATATAATAAACTTTATGAGAATGAAAATTTCATAAATATATTATATGCAAGTTTTTTTTGATCGATTTGATGAAATTTAAAATTTACAAAGCAAACTTATTTGATGTTTAAAAAATTTTTATGATCTAACTAATTGTATACATTTACATAAGAGATGATCAAATAGTGTTGAAATAAATTAACTAATTTCAATTAATGCTGAACTATTAATTTGGTTACATTTTTATTTACTTTCTTTTTGTTTTATTAAAAGTATGATTGATAGAAATAAAAGTATTTTATCGTATCTTTTCTTTTTTCCGTCGGATAAAAATTAGTGCATTAGAAGCATTCAATCTTCTTATAATATCATTTACAAAATATATTCTAAAAATAGGATTAAATTAATGAAAATACTAAACAGTCTACATCATATATCACATCACTAAACTTCTTGTTCCATAATAGCTGATGGCATATTTAATAATGTTTGGCAAGTGATATTTTATGCTAATAAACTGAAGTAAGCTAATATGAACAGCCTGAATATTATTAAGATAACACTGATATCATCTTATTTAGTAGCATCATTCCCATTTAAAAAAGGATTGTTAAATCAATTTTCAGAATTAATTCAATCGAATATATTTTAGGAAATTTAGGGCTGTCAAATAAGTTTTATCCATTTTTGCAAAATTTTGAATATAATTGTATTAATTTTTATCTCTTTTAATGCTGGCATTAAATTTAATTTTCCCTTTTTTTCTCTATCATTTTTATGATGGAAATAGTTTGAAAAAAACATTCTGAAATTATGGAATAGAAAAATTTTCGAAATTGCATAATCTAATAGATGTGATGTTTGCAAGTTAGTTTTCTCCTATGTTGACTATAATTGTTTGCTAACTTTCCCACAAAAACTTTATGGATAGAATAATTAATTATTAATGTAAGATATCTCATGAAAATCTGCATAATAGCGGGATTAAAAAGAAATAATACTTCTTGAAGTATTTTTCAACGAATTTACAGAAGAATATATATTGTGAATTATTTTAGGCTTTAATAATACTCCGTGATTATTTGCCAATTTCTTCATTCATTTAGTTGTTGAATTATTTTCAACGTACTAAGTGTTCAACAGGCAAATTTTAATTATCTCAAATGGGATTTTTTTCCCCCGCGATCTCTTAATCTTTTATAATATTAGAAACTGATAATAGTAAAATTTACTCAACTGCAATAAGTCTTTTACAAACTCTATAGCAATGATTATTTTTATAATTTGTAGTTTATTTGTGTTTATTATTAGTAGTTCAGTCAGTTTAATTAAAACCACTAATAGTTCATTTCATTAAAGAAATTTCTTCCTTATATTTGAAATGGATCAAATAATGAATTGCCGGAATTGTTATCTAGTAATTTGCTTTTATCAAAAATATCATTTATCCATATATTCTTGTTTGATGATCTGTCATTTTCTGTGTTAATTCAATTTAATACATTTTATATTTTCTCTATTATTATCACCAGTTTAATTAAAACTACTAATAGTTATATCACCAGTTTAATTAAAGCCATTAATAATCGACAAATAAATGTCATACGTTTTTTTTATAGTAATTTCGATAACTAATTACAATTTAGTAGCAATAATGTTTGGCTATGTGTATGATGATATCATGCAGAAGCATGCGAATCCGTATGATCCAAATGAAAGAACTCAAGAACGACCGGAACGAACATGCTTAATTCATTCTAGACTACAAAATGATGGTTTACTTGATAATGCAATAAATGTTTGTTGTCTCAAATTGAGTTTTTCAATTTCAAAACTAATGAAATTTAAAAATTAAATGTTTGTTGAATAAATTAGATGAATAGATGCTTCTTGAACAAAAGTTTGAAATCACCTATTGATTGATTGTTGAACAAATAATTGACACCTTTAAACAAGCTATTAACTTTTTTTATTTTCTGTACAATTTAAATTAATACCCATTTATAATGATATTTAATTAATATTTCATATTAGAATGTTTCATGAAAATACAGAAAAAATAGATTCAGGAATATTTTTCTTTCCTGAAAAAAATCAACTATTAAGTATATCTTTTATTCATATGAATTAAATTATTAATACGAACTAATAATTATTTATAATATAAATTAAATATTGAAGATCAAAGTTCGAGCAGCAAAAGATTGGGAACTTTGTTTAAATCATCCTTATCAATTGGTCAAAGAACTTGAAGAAATGAGTACGGTGGAAGAATTGGAGGAATATTGTAAAGAACATGAATTACTTTGGCTATGTCCCGATAGTATTCGTATTGCTCGACTTGTTGTTGGTGGTGTGATTGATTTTGTACGGGCTAATATTCAGGGCAGGTTTGTTTATGACCTAAAAATGCATTATTGTCAAAATTTCTCTCTCATCCAAATTTTCATTTTATTATAAACTTTTAGAAACAAATGTATGATTAATTTAGTTCTGTTTATTTATGCATAAATAAAGTATATTGCAAAAAGCGATCTTCTTTGTTTTTCTTTCTCACTATTTATACTTTTAGTTATTAGTAAGTATTTGTTTGTTTATTTATTTGAGTTTTTTGATGCACTGCGTAAGACGCCTATTACACATAAATATGTCTTGTTTACTTACATTCATCTTGTTTACTTGATTATATTAGTTGTTTATAGAAAGTATATTATTGAAGGTTAGAAATATATGTATTGTATATTGTTATTTGTACGCATATTTTAATTTTGATGAATCAACAAATTAAATTATCCATCAGAAGGACATATAATAATGATATATTAATCAGTTTTCGTGGTGATAAGTTTTCAGGATTGGTAATGGTTTTGCAATTGTACGACCACCAGGTCATCATTCATATGGGAAACAACCACAAGGATTTTGCATCTTTAATAATATTGCAATTAGCGCTAAATATGCTGTTGAAAAGTGTGATATCAATAAGATAAGATTTTCAAATAAATTTTATTAATTAAAACAATTAGACTATTTGAGAGAATCATTTAAAATTAAAAAGCAATCCAAATTTATGCAGCAATTTTAATTTTAATCACAACAAAATTCACTTCCATTGTTATAATAGATTTAAACTAATTAAACAATAAGAATTAAGAGAATTGAAAATAATGAAAATAAAAAATAAAATTTGACAAATTAAAACCATTGACATTGATACCAGTGATAAGCTATATTTATTGATAAATAAGGAAAGACTAAAAATTAAAATGAAATCATTAGATGTAATAAAATAAATGCCTTCCAGATAATTGTGGTGGATTTTGATTATCACTGTGGCAACGGCTTATATCATTCCCTCAAAGGGGATAAACGATTTTTGTACATTAATTTTCATGCTTATCATTACGGAGCTTTTTGGCCATATGAGGAAGAATATGATTATGATAACAAATATGGTAAATAATGAAATATGAAAACATATGAAAATATGGTAGTTTTGAAATGAAGGAATTTAATTTAGCTATTCGTATAAGAGACATCATAATAATAATACAGTAATTGTATCGATATGGTTAATAAATGTAAATGAAGGAACAATTAGCAATAAGAAGTGTAATATGTAAGATACATAAAGATATTGTATGCTTGTAATAACTAAATATAAAATTTTAATTAATAATTGCATAAAAGTAATACATAAAGATAATGTATATTATAAATCTTATTATAATTGTAGTATAAAATATATATTATAGTGCATATTATAATTATAATATATTCTTTTCTTTCATAATTATAAAAAATCATAAAATAAATATTATAATAACTTATCGCATTATGATTTTTAGCAAATGAAAGTTTTATATTTTGCAACAATTTTAACCTTTGAGTTTCTACTATGTAATTCACTTTAGTAATATTTTTTATCAGATAATATCGTATCCATCCCGTTGAATTGTGCAATGAATACGGAAGGTGATTACATCGGTGCATTACAACATCTTGTAATACCTATTGCTAAAGAGTATCAACCAGAATTGGTACTTGTTGCGCTTGGATTTGATAGCGCTTACTATGATGATTTATTAGAACATGGACAGGGCATTAAAGCACATGGGTTTGTTTAATTCTTTTGTTTTCAAATTTTTATTATTAAAAATTAACATTTCAACAATGTCGAATAGAATATGTATAGTTTAGTTTAAATTTTATCAGAAAAAAAAAGGAAAAATTGCTTATCTTGTAGTAATGAAAATGTTTTAAAAAAGGTAATTCAATATAGATATGGTCATATAATGAAAATATTGGATAATCTATGGCCAAATAAAGTTTTGGCTATTTTGGAAGGTGGATATTTTTCTGATAGTTACACTGAATGTGCTGCTATGGCTGTACGAGGTTTACGAGTATGTATTAAAGTATTTATTCAAACAAATTTTATAATTGATAAAATGAAGATAAAATTAAAGGAAGAGAGTAAAATATATATTATATATTGATATATATTGAAAAGATATACTGATAATCTATCTTGTTGATAATTTATCTCATTGATATCTCATTATCCTAATTCAATATAAAAAATCTCATTATCTTATTCAATATAAAGAAATTTAGCAAATTTTATAAAGCAGTACATTTTGCTAGCTAACATAATAAGCAAGTTGCCTCTTGAAAAGATGATAATAGTTTATATCAACCTTGATAGACATGATAATATGGGTGATCGGATAATCTTAACTGCTTACATTTTATTGATAATCAAAGCATTTCATATATATAATTTTTTTAGTTGTAAGTTTGTTCTGATGTCTGATATAATTGAAATTAAAGAAAGAAAGCTTAAAATTAAATACAGAATCTTTTTGCGCTTTTATAATTTTTTTTGATTTTAAAATAAAATTTACAGAGAATGGAATTACCAAAATTACATTATCCGAAACAAATTAATGCATGCATGGCAGAAACATTATGGAATAGTTTATGCTTTCATGCAAAACGTTGGAAGAATGTTGCAGAACATTTGGAGAAATTGCAAGATATGCAGGTTTTATTTTTTATTACCCGATAATGAAGAATGATTAAATTTTGCAAAATTTTGAACTAAATAGCAATATATGTTTCGTTTGAATTGAATTTCGTAAACGAATGGAAAAAAGAAACTTAAGTTTTAATTAATTCTTTAAATAACTAAAATTCAATCTTTTTATTATAAATAACTGAATGATTATTAATTTAGGTACACTTTTTATTTATTATTTTAATTTTTTAAAACAATATTACAAACTGACTAATTTGCAAATTTTATAAGTCAATTAAATCAATTTTCTTTCTTGCATAATAAATTGGAAGGGAATAATTGACAGCCAATTTTTATTATTCTTATAACTAAAATCAAGTTCTATTGGAAATAATAATTAAGGAATATTTGGGAATAATTGCAGATCAAGCATGGATTTCCAAAATATGTACCATCAGCTGTTAAAATTTTTCTTGGTAATGGTTTTCGTAAATTATGGAATGATGTACAGAAATTGAAAGTAGCACGAACACGTGATTGGATAGATGGAATGACTGATGAAGATAAATGTTTTGCAAGAGGAAAAATTAATGAATACATAAAGGTAGTGAAAATTTAATTATATGTTATTATAATAATAATTATGATAATCACGTATTATGATAGTAATAGTACAGTATTTTATAATAATTCATTCGCTTATGCTCATTATTATGAAGCAATATAAATATGATATTATTTAAACGTAATATGATTATGATATGATTTCAAAGTGATATAAATATGATATTATTTTAATGTAAAATGAATATGATATTATTTTAAAGCAATATGAATACGGTACAACGGATGAATTAACAGAAGATGAATTTCTCAAGCAATTACTATGGTATTCTCAACGACGTGGTGAAGCGTTTCTGAAATCGATCCCTACAACGCTCTTCTTTTATAATTGTATGCGAGAATGTATGAAAGACGAGAATGGTGTCTATTTAATTGTTGATATGTGTTCATATCGTGAAGCTGCTCGTAAATATCGTGCTCTGAAGAAAAATAAAACATAATTATTTTGCTAAAAAAATAACTAGAAAATTGAAATAATAATAATTGATAGTGATTGTGTTTCTTTTCGTGGCATTAAGTAATATTTAGAAAACTAAGATGATAATAAGATAATTATAATAGAGATTAAAAAAATAATCATAATAATAATAAAATGAAATTTTATTTAATTCTTCAATATTTTTATATAACTAAAATTCAACCTTTTTATTATAAATAATTAAGTGACTAATAATTTGAGGACTCTTTTTATTTATTATTTATATTTTTTTAAACAATATTACGAACTGATCGATTTGTAAAGCCGAAAATTTTATATGCCAATTAATTCAATTTTCTTTCTTTTAATTAAGAGAGAATAATTGACAGTTACATTTTCATTCGTCTTATAACTAATTCATTTCCTATTAAAATAATAATTGACAAATGCTTTAGGAGGCATTGTAATTTATAATAATAATAATTATTATTATTATCATTATTGTTATTATTATAATGGTAATTGTGTTGATTTTAGCGATGTTGTAAAGGAATGTTTAAATTACGATAATAATAATGCTAATGAATGTATTACTAATCATAATAATAAATATGCATTTATTAATTGCGATCGTAAGTTTTATAAATTACAATGAATTTTTCATTTAAATTCACCAATTGGTCATAACATAGCTATCATTTGGATTAATATAATATAATTCGGATTGCTATAAAATATTCAGAATTTCTATTCAAATTTTCCGATCTTTTTGATCGGATCATTTAAATAAATCCTTTTTAAAATTTCAAGCATAATTGAATTATAAATCACATTAAACTACAGTATAATTCAGAGATAAAATTAAAATTTTCCTGATAAATTTTGAAAGTGCTAGAATTAAGTATGAATTTATTTAAATAATTTAATTTTATCTTTGCATTATACTGCAATTTAATATGCATTATATCATTTGAATTATTTTAATGTAGGAAAATACAAAATTTTAATTTAAATTTTCCGATTCCTTTGATCGGATTATTTAACTTAAGGCTTACTATTTAAGTAAAGGCTTGCTATTTAAGTAAAGGCTTACTATTTAAGTAAAGGCTTACTTAATTCGAACAATTTTTAAAATTTCAAATATAATTGAATTATAAGTCGCATTTAAATTATATTATAATGAGAGATAAAATTGAAATTTTCCAGGCAAATTTTAAAAATTGCTCGAATTAAATGAGCATTCATTTAAATAATTTAATTCAATCTCTTCATTATATTATAATTTAATGTGTATTATATTATTTGGATTGCTATATTATAAGGCAATTCAACTCTTCAAGTTATCTTTTTAATTTCAAATTTCGCATGACATTTTTTAATTCTTATTTTTGAAAGGATAACCTAAAAATATATTCATCCAAAGTAGTCACTTGGCTTAATATTTATGCTCTTCAAGTTATCTTATTAATTTTGATAGCAGTTCAAATTTTTTTCAAAATATAGTAATTAATAAAATAATTAATTGAACAATTGATGATAATCTATTGATGTAAAAAATTGCTGTTAAGTACCATTGCAAAGTTATCAATAATTATTTTTGTAAATTTTACAAAAATCTTTCATCAATTACACGGAATCATTACTAAACGATGATTCATATCGTGGAAAATTTATTTTAAAATAACTAACATTTCAAAATTTTGATATTTAAAAATAAATATTTTATCAATTGATTTTTACACTAACAAAAAATAGAAAACAAATAAGAATAATGAGAAGAAATTAAAAAGAATTAACAAAACAAATTGATCGTAACATTATCATATTTTCTATAAGTATTTCGATGATATCATTGTAAACTTTAAAAATTTACTTATGAAAATTATTGATTATCATTTCTTTTCAATTTCCAAAAATGATATCTTCCAAAAATGTCTTAATGTCATTAGCCTGAAATTCTCAACAATGATTCGAAATATTTGCAATAATTGTTGCATTATTTTCATTCATTCATTACAAATTGTAATGAAATGATCGAAATAAAATTTTTCGCTGTTTTTATTTATCGCATTCTCTTTCTCGAAAATACATTTATAAAATAAAAGAAATGAAATGAAAACGAACAAAGTTGAAATGGTCGCAAATTAAAATTAGTTAATCTTAAATTATTTGCTCCCAAAAACACCGCATTTTTACTATTTCTTTTTCTCTCTAAGAAATTGACAAATCTATTTATATACAAATATATGTATTCATTCTTCATTCATTCTTTTGTTTTTATTTCGCTGTTTTAGATTTTTTGCATTCACTCAAGATTTCCATATTTCATTTTATTAAACTTATTAATTGCTTGTTATTTTATTTTATATCACAAGTTATCATGTCATTATTCCTGCTCTAACAATAAGCATTATAAAAATAGTTTGTTATTTTATTTTAGCACAAGAATCATATCATTATTAGTGCTCCAACAATAACCATTATATCTTATCACTATTTTAGTATCATATCAATATTCTGTTAAATGTTATTTGCTATTTTGCAAATAACACTTAAAAAATTGTAGCATTTTTGGAATACAATGAAAATATAATCAAATGATCTGTAATTTATAATTTCCAAAAATTTTTAATGATAATTTTTAATTTGCTAAAAGAGTAAAAAAAAAAAGAAAATGATGCCAATTTATGATAGACATTAACTTGAATTAAAATCACATTTTAATAAAAGCCATCGTTGTAATAATTGCATCATTTAAGTTTTTATTTAAATTGATAGAAATGAAGAAAAAATTCAGCATGCCGTTTTTTCTTATCATTTCTAATAACATTTTTCCAATTCTTTTTCTTTTGAAATTATTTTCTATTACATAAATAAACCAAATAAGTAAAAAATAAAACAGCAAAATAAATGGATCAGAAATAAACTGATCGGAATATTTTGATCATTCCATGACAATAAATGGATTGAAAATAAACTGATCGTGGTGTATTGATCATTCCATGACAATAAATGGATCATAAATAAACTGATCGGAATATTTTGATCATTCCATGATAATAAATGGATCAAAAATAAATTGATCAGCGTGTTTTAATCATTCTATGACATATTGACCTAAATTAAATTTTATTACTGCTTATAATATCTTTTGATTAGCCTCATTTAATATAATTAAATTATAAAATTTTTCGACAAATTTTTTAATCTTTGTCAATATTAAAAAATAATTTGTAATTAACAAAAAAAAAAAAGAATTTTATTAATTAGATATAAAAATGTCCTAGTTTTGTTGGACGATCATGATGGAATGTATAATTTTGAGTATTTTATACTTTTTCCTTAAATAATTATCATCAAACTTGTTTTGTTATTAGTAAAAATTATGAGGGAAATGAAGATCTAATGTTTGAGAAATGAAAAAAATTAAGTATTCTCAAAAGCAAGTTATTAATTCCTGTATTTAAGCGTTCATTTGTTGTATAATATTCAAATAGAATAATATTCTTATATCCAGTTCCTATTAAGATAATGCTGGCTTATTTTTATTAAATATTATATGTATCTATACAATGATAAAAATTAAACGAATCCAATTCTTATCATTTAAATATTCAATTCATTCAATTATTCTTATCATTTCATCCTTCTTTTTCCCCTCACTTATCAGTTTTATTTTCATCTTAATTGCTAACTATTAATTATAATTTTATATTATTAACTTTTTTTATAGAAATAAATAATAGCTTTAGTTATGTTTATTATAATAAATTTTAAAAAAGTCAACAATTCCATTATATTTTTCTCATCATCAATTTTCTTCGCAATTATTAATTACCCATTAAAATATTTGTTTTACTCAGACATTTGAAATTTAATTCAATACATGATGCTTCCATTGCTAATAATGCTTTATAATTCCTTCATACCGTAACATTATTTTCAATCTCTAAAATTAAACTTTATTATTATATTTCTATCTGTCCATTGGTGCAATACTAATTTCCAAATATCTTCTTCCTTTTGATAACACTCTTTCTTGCTAATTTCTATGGTAATTATGGAATGTTCTGCTACAGTAATATTGAACGATTATATTTGAAATATTAAATTTAAAAAATTTGAGTAGCAAAATTTTCAATGATATATTGTGATTATCAATAATTTTCTGCATGTATTATAACACATTGCTGAAATTAAGGATTGAGCAATTTTATTGATATGCAGACTGCAATGCTTTTTCTTGTAAATTAATTGGATTAATCATTGTAATCATTCATATATCCTTCATTTATAGCATAAATATTTCAAATTACTGACTTAAAGTTATTCCTAATTTGATATCTTTACAGATGTTATTAATACTATATGCTTCGATAATACTAGAAATTATTCCACATTCTGGATATGGTGATAAAACAACACAGGAAGGTAAATTTGAATTGCATTTTAATCAATTTTTCCAAATATACCAATCGTAATTTACAGTATACAAAAGAGTTACAGTAGAAATGTTTACGAAAAATATTTTACAGTATCTAAAGAAAGTTAGAGTAGAAATGTCTATGAAAAGCATTACCTCTTAATGGCTTTTTATATTTCTTGTTAATAAAAATTTTTAAATTGTGCATCGTTGAATACATTTGAATATGGTAAATGAATTCTTTGGTAATTATTCGTAATTAATATACCATAATGATGTTTCTGTGGGTACTGCAGGCTCTTTTTATTAACAATATTTTTATCAAATTCGATCCATATTTGTCTAAATTTTAGAAAGAATTGATGAAGTACTTTCGAAAGCAATGAATGATGCGCATCAAACGTTCAATGAGCTAAAACAATATAATGAACCACTTCTGTTGCAAAACAAAAGTCGAACCATTCATATGTATTTCAAAATTATTTTGACAAAAATGAAATTTAAAATTCTAAAGTCGGATTTTAAAATTAAATCAACGAAATTATATTTATTTCGAATTACAGGTATATTGGAACAAATACGAATACCTTTTAAAATATGGAATTTACATACTCGATCTGAATCAAATTTTCAAAAACTTGCGCGTGCAGCACTCTTCTCAATTATTACTACTAAAAAATTGAAAAAGTTTGCTTCACTTTCTCTTTGTTGCCACCCTTCACATAATAAATATCGCAAACTTCAATTAAATAAATGTTTAAATTTTAATAAATTTTAAATTTTCATCATTGGCTTTCTTTTCCTTATATTTTTGAGAAGAAAATGGAGGAAAAAATGATGCATTTTAAAATTTTATAAAAAGCTTTATCAAATTTAAATATTATTTAGCTTTTTTTCAAAATTGAAAAAATTAATTCAGTTTAATTAAAACTTCTAAACAAAAGTTGCTTTTGTTATTGTTTCATCGATATTATTTTTATTATTATTATTATTAAACACCTAAAATTAATACGATAAGAACAAGCATTTATGTAATTGTTCTATTTCATTCAATTATGTAACATTTATAAATGTTAATTTTTGAGAAATTGTTCAGTTTTAAGAAACAAATAAATATTATAATTTGTAATGAATTCGTAATTATTTATTTAGTAATAAATTTATAAATATTTGATTCTTTGCAGTGATGGCACTAAATCAGCCAGTGCTTTACCGGTCATTTTAAACCATATTCGTAAATATTGTCCATTGTATAAAATTGAATGCTCCACTAATAAATACCGTACTATCGATGGTACTTGCAATAATATTATGCATCCTAATTGGGGTGCTTATGGTGCTCCGATGCAACGTATCATTCAACAGTTTTACGCCGATGGTATGCATGTTTTATATAGTAAGAGAAAAAGTATAAAAAATTATCGATGAAATTGATTTACAATTATTGATTGATATCTAATCGTAAATTATAATCAGTCATATGGGTTAGACAAGTATTCATATAAAAATGACGTTTTCATCAAATATTTGATACTTGTAAAATTATGTGTCAATTAATAATTGCCGTTTTTGTTGCTGCTTGTTGCCATTATATTAATGTTACTGTTGTTTTTGCTGTACCATTGCTGTTATTATTGCTTTTGTTATTGTTTTATCAATATTATTATTACTCTTACCATTATTGTCGTAATTATTATCGTTACTGTTTCTTGTTACTATTGTTGTTTTATTGACATTGTTATTATTGTATTATTATCGTTATCATATTTGTTCTTATTGTTGCTTTTATCATTGTTTTATTTTGTTTTTTTATTGATATCGTTATTATTATTATTATCGTTATCATTTCTCTTGTTATTTTGACTTTTTTGCTATTATTGAATGCCTTTATTTAAAGCTCATTTTTAGAAATTAAATTCAAACAGGTGAATTAAATTTGCAATAGTTTTTTGTTTGTTTTGTTTTTTCGGACTGAAATTAATTGTTCATGTGGAAGTTTATAATCACTGATATGCATTTTATAATTGCAATAATATTTTGCACTGTAAAAAAGTTCTTTGTTGAAAAATTTCTTTCTTTATAAACGTCGTAAATATAATATCAATTATAAAATGCTCAATAACTTTGATTACGCAAAGTTGAAATGCTTCACATTAATTGTAAATCATTTTAGATGCAAAGAATTTAATATACAAAAGCTTAAAAAAAAAACCATAGGTTTAAATTTCAATTAATAAAGATATAGAAAAATTAATGCTATAAATTAATGGTTCTTAGGAATTGATGAATTTCGTGTTTCGATTGTTGATAATAGTGAATTACCGAATGTTCGATACTTATCAAATTTATTCTTCGTCAAGAAGCAATCACCAACATTGAAAGTAAATATGCTAAATGCTCTTTGGGCACATTTTGTTTACATGGATTTAGTGCATATTGGAAATCTTCAATTATTCAATGGTTTGAACTAAAGATTTACTTTTTAATTTTCAAAAATTTCACTAATAGAATGTTTGCTGTAATAATGCTAAATTAAGCTGTATTAAAGATTGGCAATATTGATTGATTTCTTGAGATAATTATTATGCATAATTTTTTGATTATAGAAATTGGAAATAATTTCAGATGATGAGCAAATTCCACTATCATGTTGTGCACCAGAAATTAAACAATATCCGGAGTGTAAATCAATTATAGTACCAAAAAATGACCCCAACTATTCTGATTTCCTCAGTTGCTTACCTTATACGCGTACCACTCCAGCACCACGACCCGAATGTGAATTGGGTCCACGTGAACAAGCTAATCAGGTTACTAGTTTTCTCGATGCTAGTGTTATTTATGGTAGTACCATAAAACGAGCACATGCATTGAGGACATTTAGAAGTGGTAAGTGTATTTGAATTTTGCTGATATTTTTGACAGAAATAATGAATTCAATAAGCTAAGCAAGTTATTGATATCATCCATAGTTTCAAATATCAGAAGTGATCCAGGTAGAGTTATTAATATCATATTAGTCTTTGGTAAAGTTATGTATCAAACATTTGTTAACTATCTAACAACATAGAAAGATGAAAGATGAAGAAATAAGGACTGTTAATTTGTAAAATAATTTAGCATCTGTTAATTAATGCTTCTAATGATATTTATTAAGAATTCTAAATTATATTGCTATCAAAAATTAATATTTTTAATATAAATAATCAACAATAATGCTAAAAAATAATATTATTTGAATTATTCAATATTTTTATGTTTATGTCTAATTTTAGGTCGCATATTAACAAATTCCGATCCATTAAATCAAAATATGCCATCAACGATTAACTTATTGTGCAGCATACTGAAAATCAGCCCTGAATGCGATTTATATAATAATTATCATACATTCGTTAGTGATTCCGATCATTTAAACTTCTTACCAACATCTGTTACTATTCTTCATACCATTTGGATACGTCAACATAATCGAATTGCCACAAATTTAAAGGTTATCTTCTAAATCTATTTTAGATTTTTATATTTTCATCTTTAATAAAGTAATTTAATTAAAATAAATTTACATATATCTATCTTTTTATCATTTAAAAAGGGTGTCAACATCGTAGCGAAAAAATGTTTATTATATTATCTCATTTCCTTTCAACTGAAAAAGAAAAACAAAAAAGATTTTTGACCAACAAATTAATAAAAGAATAATTTGATAAAATTCGAATAAATTAATTAATTTACTTTACTTCGATAATTAGAATTAATTTTATATAACTAATGAAAAAAATAAATGAAATAAATGAATTGATAATATATCAATGCATTTTCCAACTTATATAAACGTAACTTTTCTAATTTTGTGATATGTGAACGTGAAGTAATAAATGGAAAAAATTTTTTATGATATATGAATGTGTAGCAATAATGGAAATTTAAATGTGATATAATTTTAGGTTTAATTTTAAGCAAATAAATGAATTGATAGTTATCCCAAAATATGTATTTTGAAAGTAAAATTAAAATAGATGTATAGTAAGTTTTGAAAAACAAAAAAAAAGCAACATTTTTAATTGATCTATTCGATCATTATTATATTTTAAAGTGTGGCGATCATTGAACAATTTTATTTTTAGAAATGAAAAATATCAAAATGCTTTCATTTCTTTTTTCTTTATTCATTAACTAATTTCAATATCATATTATTATTGTTTACTGTGATTTGTTTACAGATAATGAATCCGCATTGGTCTGATGAGCAATTGTATCAGGAAAGTCGACGAATAGTTATCGCACAATTACAACATATCACTTATAATGAATTTTTGCCAAATCTGATTGGCAAAGAAAATTGGTTAAAGTTTGAATTACAATCACAATCTTATGGATATAGTAAAGAATATAATCAAAGCATGGATCCTACTGTCATCAATACATACGCTGCTGCTGCTGGACAAGTTTAATTTTTCATTTTTACTTCCTTTAATTAATTATTTACCAAATAATAGAAGTTTATATTTCAATCGATGGTATTATATGAATTTTTAAATATTTAAATGATTTTAATTGCTATCATTGGAATAATTCATGATAATAAACAACTTTCATTTTTAATAATATTAGAATATGATTATTCTTTTAATTATGATATCCTCTTTTATTGATTTCAAGTTTTGAAATTTTTGTAAAAATTCTCAAAATATAGTTTATAGTTTTTCTTCACAATGTTCGACAAGCATCTTACATGGTACAGAGATGATAGCATTAAAATACTTGAACGACAGTTAGAGGAATATTTCAATGATCCGGGATTACTTTTCTCAAAGGATCAAATTAGAGAAATATTGAAGTCAGTAGTTTCCTTTTTTTTCATTATGACAAACAATGATATGAATATATGTAATCTGATATGATTAAGAAGAAAAGAAAAAAAGATCAAGATGAAGATAAAGAAGAAAAGATAAAAAAGATGAAGAAAAGATAAAGATCACAAAAGACGAAATTTAGAAAAACTATTTAAATTTTCTGAAAAGAAAACATTATGCAGAATTATTCAATCATTTTAATTGAATTACAGAATAATTAAATTACAGAATTGAATTACAGAAAACAATACAGAATTTTTCAAATATTTTAATTGATATGAAAACTAATCGCAAATACACCAAAATTATTTTATGACATATAAAAAAGAATAAAATTTTAGTAAAATGAAAAATTTTAATTCTGAAATTTTAGATATGTGTTACATGAGCCAATCAATGGACCTATGGTTTACATGAATGATGAATTTCGTAATAAATTTTTTGAAGGGAAAAAATTTTTGGGATATGATCTTGCAGCATTAATTCTACAAATGGGCCGTGATCATGGTATTCCACCGTATACTGTATGGCGAGAATATTGTGGTGGTAGTAAGGTTGAAATTTTATTTGGCTCAAAATATTACTCATTATAATTTTAAATTATTTTATATTTGTTTTAAAAAGGAGAAAATTATATGATCAAAAATTTTCCAATGGTTTTATTTTGAAATACGAAATTTTAAACAGATTCAATCATTTGATGATTTAATGGATGATCTAATTGGTGGGATGGAATTAATAAACCAACTAGCAAAAATGTACAAAACAGTTGACGATATGGATTTATTCTTACTTGGTTTAGCTGAGAAGCCACTTCATGATGCACTTCTTGGACCAACATTTAGTTGTATCATTTCATTACAATTTCAAAAGGTTTTAGATTTTATTAACTCATAAATTTTAAGCAAATTTTAAAATTAATTACTTCATCAATAATTCAAATAAATCATGTTGTAATGAAAAAAATTTTAAAAGATGGAAATTGAGAGAACAAAGATATGGAAGATATGATATGAATATATTTACAATTACAATTTATTATTTCATTTACAAAGTTATTGTTAGGTTATTAAAAGTTTCCACAAGTTTAGACAAAAGAAGGTGATCGTTATTGGTATGAGCATTTAGCAGAATCAGGTTTTACAAACGAGCAATTAGATGAAATTCGTAAAACAACAATGGCGAAAATATTGTGTAATAATGTGGAATATTTCGATATGGTACAACCAAGAGTATTCGAATTAACGAATAACTATGAGTGAGTGTTTCCAAAATTTTATATTATCAACTGAAAATGAATTATTCTAAAAAATTACAATTAAAAAAAATTATCCTAAAAATTATAATTAATAAATAAATAAATATAATTAAAAATACAATTTAAAAATGAAAATTTGATTGAAAAATAAAATAATAAAATAATTTTAATTATAATAAATAATTATAATAATAAAATGTCTTTCATTTACTTTCATAAATTTTCCACGTTTCCATTTTGAATCTCTGTATGAATTGCTAATAATTTTAATTTAAACTTCTTTCAGCAATTATCTAACTCATTGTAATGAAACATTACAAACGGATATGAATATTAGCAAATGGATTGATTATAAATTACATGATGAGATAAAATTATCACTAACAAAAGCGACAATTGAGAATGCAGTTGAAATTGCTTTAGAAGAAGTTAAAAAACGCCGTCAACGTGAACGAGAAAATATTCAAAAATGTATTTAGCTTTGATTTTCTTCTTTTTTCAATTACTTCATTGTTGCATTAAATAACTTAATTACTACTCAATTAGAAATTAATTATGTATTCAATTAATTATACATTATTGAAATGATATTATATACATTTATTAATTATGCATTTGTTCAATAGAGATAAGTATAGAGATGATATTTTTAGCTATTTCATAAATTTTACTTAATAAGTCAACTTATCTAATCTCAACTTTTATATCTAACTAAATCACTTTTAGTTGTACATTAATTTATTTAGCATTATCAACTACGTATCGCTATCTTTATTTAATTATTTTATATTTTCATCTAATATGAGCTTTGTTCAACTATTTGTATAGTTTAATTATTTGTAGTAATAATCAATTTCGTCGAAAAAGGGAATGAATATAAATATTGTTACTTAAAGTTTTATAGCTTTAATAATGTAATATTAACAAATTGGATGCATTATTAAATATTTTTCTTTAGATCAGGATATGTTTCAATCTGGCGATCCGCAACTATCGTATGCTAAAATGATGCGACCAAAAGATGAGGCTATTGCGATCGCTGGAGTATCTGATGTATTTCTGCAGGTTACTAAAAATCTAGTGTCTAAGTAAGCCTAAAATTTTTTTATATTATTTTGATAATAATTTTATCATTTTTAAAAAATTGACAATTATCAATTTGAAATTATTATTCCAATTATTCTGTATATTTTTTTTCAGCAATGGATCAGAAAGTAGTAAACAGTTGAGAAAATTGAGTATTAATGAAATGCAAAATTTGCTGCAACAGATTGACGTTAGCCCGTTGGTTTTTTAATATATTTTTATTGTTTAATTTTGAATTTATTTTCAAAATACATGGACTTAAATTTTTGGTAAATTACAATATTAAATACTTAGAAAGAAGCATAGTCTGAACAGATATCATCCATCTATCCAGTTAGAATTTCGAATTTGAAAAATGAACTAATAAGAACTTACTGAACTGTAAAATATAATGGAAAGAATGTAATGAATTGTAGGAAACTATAAAGCTAAAAGTTAAATGGATGTGCTGAATTTAGAATTCATCCTTTTTTAGGTTTGTTAGCAGAATTGAACAATTTTTTGAATATGATGTATCAATAGAGGAAAAGTGTTTGCCAAAAATGTTGCCATGTGACGAGAACACTCCATACCGGACAATATCCGGTTGGTGCAATAATCTTCGAAATCCTCATTTCGCTAACGCTTTCGGTCCATTGATTCATCTTCTCCCACCAGCTTATGAAGATGGTTTGCTTCTGAATTTATGACAAGATAATAGCGCCCAGTAAAAAAGTCTAAGTTATAAATTTTTCAATTTTCATAATAAAATAATTAATGTTGTCAATTTTACTGATCACTTCAGTATTAGCTGTTTATAATAAATGCAAATCATATCTAACATAATTTTCAATTTCAACAATTTCAATTTATGCTAAGCCGCCAGCGATCATATAATCTAGTAATGAACATTAATTTAGGAATTGATATGCCACGATCGAAATCTGTAACAGGTGAATTGCTACCATCACCACGTGTTATATCAAATACGCTACACTTTGATTTACCAATCAGTCATCAAAGTTATAGCCATATGATTATGCAATTCGGTCAAATTCTCGATCATGAAGTGACACATTCACCGATTGAACGTGGTAACATCTTCACTTACTTTAGGAATAAATAATAATAATGCAATTAATTATCACTTACAACTTAATAACACATCACTTGTATTCATGAATAATATCATCCTTGCTGAAATCTAAAATTCAATAATTATCTTTTGTTTATAGCATATAATATCATTCATTTTCTTATTTGTTTTGATTGTACTATGGAACAAATTGTAGAAATTATATAAATATCCTGTGAACGATAGCTTAAACATTAATAATCTAAATTACAATTAACGATATGCATAATTTATCTTACTTATAAAATTTTTGCAGCAAAAAAAATATCATTTTTTATCAGGGCTTAAATATCAGTTATTGATTATTTAGCACGTAATTGATAAAGATTAAGCAAATTTGTACTTTTCTTGTATAAATGAATTGCTTATCTATCATCGATCACTATTTGATAATTTGATAAGAATTCAGGAGATGATGATATAAAAATTTTTAGTACGCTATTAATATTTATAAGTCATGATGAAATATGCATCTTTTAATTTGAAACAATAATGATAATGATGATAACGAAGAATGAATAAAAAAAATTCTTTTTCATTTTAGTCTTGATTGAAATAAGTGAAAATTTCAAAAATTACAATGATGAAATATTTAATAGATCCGTATAAGAAAAAAAAACTATGATAATATTCATAATGATAAGGATTAATTTCTTTCAACAATAATTTTACCTTATCATTTTTATCCCTATGAAATATAAATGATTTTCAACGCTAGTTGTTGTAATTAAGGGCCAGATAATGAGATATTGAATTGTACACGATGTGATTCACATGAAACTCTCTCAATGAATTGCATGCCATTACCGATACCATCTAATGATCCATTTTTTCCAACACATGATGAAAATGGTGAACGACGATGTCTTCCATTTACTCGATCACTTCTTGGACAATTAAATCTTGGCTATCGTAATCAAATCAATCAGGTTGTATTATTTTAATTTTTTCGTTCATCCATTTATTCGATTATTTCTTGGAACATTTAAATAATGGAATCTTGGCTATCGGAATCAAATCAATCAGATTTTATCATTTTAATTTTTTCGATTCTTCCATTCACTCCACTACTTCCTGGACAATTAAATGTTAATTCTTTCAATAATAATAATGATTTTGGCTATTGAAATCGAATCAATTAAATTATTTATTATAGCTTAGTAAATTTCATAATAATAATTAAATTTAGAATAATCAATCATTTTACATATAATTTTATAATAATTTAGCAACTTTTACAATAATAGTTAATTTTAAAATAATGAACCATTTCACATAGTAATTTAAAAGTTAATAGTTCTAAATATTAAACATAAAATATAAAATATTATATGATTAAAAATATTGTACTAAAATATATTGCTATGGAAATTTTTGTGAAACACCTATAGTGGAAGGAATATGTAACGGATTTGGATTCTTCAGGAAAATATGACCCGTTTCTTGCTGGTAACACAAATTTTTACAGTTAACAGCATATTTGGATGGTTCAGCGGTATATGGTTCCACAGAATGTGAAGCAAAAAAATTGCGTATTTTTGTTGGCGGACGTCTTAACACTACCAATCTTGGCGTGTTCAATTCGTAATATCTTTTTGAATTTTGGATAGATCAATAAAATAATCTGCAATAATTAATTAATTCAAATTAAAAAAAGAGAAAGAAAAAGGTGAAAAAAAGTGTGAAGTATTAATTTATTATTTTCAACAGAGAAGCATTACCACAAGGTGATCAGGAGCAAGATTGCCGTTCCACACCGGAATTCATGTGTTTTGTTGCTGGTGATGAGCGTAATAGTCATCAACCTGGCCTTACAACAATGCATAATATATTTTTGCGAGAGCATAATCGAATTGCTCGAAAATTAGAAGAAATGAATCCATCTTGGGATGATGAACGTATTTATCAAGTGAATAGATTTCTTTCCATTTTTTTTTAAAGCTTATTTTTCTCTCTTCTATTCTATAATAAATCATTTTGAATTAAGCCAAGTGAGAAATCAGGAAAAAGATTGCCCGTTCCACATCAGAATTCATGTGTTTTATTGCTGGTGATAATAAAATAAATCATTTTGAATTAAGCCAAGAAATTTTTAGGATAAGTAAAACGGCAATTTAATTATAATAAAATAAATCATTTTGAATTAAGCTAAATGAAAAAGTAATTAAAAAAAATAATGAATTTTTAAGCAAAGTACTTATAATAATTCTTTTACCAACATATGCGAGTATAATTTTCAGGAAACAAGACGAATTGTAGGAGCAGAATTTGCTCATATAACTTATAATGAATATCTTCCGCTATTGCTCGGAAATCGATTGATGCATCAATATGATTTGAATATCCGTAAAATTGGTTATTATCATGGTAACAATCGATATTCGTAATTTTTTCGTATACTAAATCATCATTTTTTTTCAATTATTATATGTTTGCAAAATGACGAACAGAAATGATTATCACTATCATATGAAAAATCAATGAACAATTTTTGTTATTTACCGATCTTTCAAGCCTTAATCTTTCTGTAAATCATTGCAATAATTTCAACATTGATTAGTTCTCATTTATTTATTTTTGTCCTCTTAAAATTTAAGGTTATATTTTGAACTTAATTTTGGATTTTTTTCTGCAAAAAATTTTACAGAACATATTTTTATTTTTTTCGCTTCTTTTGCAACAATTTTGTGACATTTGAGAAATAAGTTTATTATCAGTTTACTATCATAATAATAAATGATAGAGAAAATGATTGAAAATGATGATAAGATAAGAAAAAAGTATATTAAACCCTTTTTTTTGATCATACTAAAATATAATTCTATTGAACATTAATGACCGTTGTAGGTTACGATGACAAATGTGATGCATCAATATCGCATCCATTTTCGACATCTGCATTTCGTTTCGGTCATACTTTGGTTCGTCGATTTTTTTCGCGTTTTGATGCTTCCTATACGAATTTCACTGAACCTGTTGATCTGGTAGAAAATTTCAATTCTGTTGAAGCGATTTATGATAGTAAACGAGGTATATTAAAATGACTGATTACCTACTTGAATATAATACTAATACATTTTTGTGAAAGTCTTAGCAGTCTTATCATTTAATATATTCAAGTATAAGTGAGTGAAATATGTAAGGAAGTGAATAGCAGTAGTATCAAATGCTTTCATACTAATAAGAAATATTTAACAATAAACTTACTTTATCTTTATTTAAAACTAATTAAGATTTCATTTTTAAATTTCGTTCATTTACTATTACGCACTTAATTAGATGAATTAATTTTGATTAATTGCTATTGTCAGATTATCTGAGTGAATATCTTTAAAGGTAGCATCGATTCATTACTTATTGGCTTAATTGGTACACCATCAATGGCTTTCGATAGGCATATCACCACTGCATTACGGAATCATTTGTTTGGTAGACGAGGAGAGCCACTTTCTGGAATGGATCTTATAAGCTTGAATATATTAAGAGGCCGCGATCATGGTGTACAACCTTACAACGCTTATCGGTACTCATTGCTTTATCATCCTCTTATAAAGCATTGTTTATTTATAAATTAATTAATCTAAATAATTAAAAATATAGAAAGTTATTGCTAGTGGAAAGAAAAAAATGCATCGAAATAAAATACATCCAAAGTTAATGCTTTGAATTTGAATTAAACAATTGGAAAAATATATGTTTATTTTTATTTATTGATTAATCAGTTGTTATCACTTGTATCTCTTATCATACAATTTTCAGCAAAACTTTCAATATTGTAAACTAAATGGTTTTATAAAATATTTAAATTATAATTATAGTAATAATAATAGTAATAATAATAGTAGTAGGATTAGTTCATTTTTATGATGAATTTTCCTTATCAGATATTATTTTCTTCTTTTCATTAGATTTCTGTTATGTAACGCTTAAAGGGAACTTTGCGGTATTGGTGCAGCAAAAGATTTCACTGATTTATTAAATGAAATGGATGAATCAGTTGTGGAAGCATTAAAAAGTTTATATAAAACAGTGAATGATATCGATTTATTTCCTGGATTATTCTGTGAAAAACCTATGAAAGGTAAAAATAGCAAAAAAATATGACAAAACAAAAATCAAATTTGTTCTCATAAAAAGAAATAATAAATTAAAATAAAACTTAATCGTATTTAAAAATGCTTTTTTTGTAAAAAATTGTTTTATAAATTAATTAAAATTTTATAAACTAGTTAAATTAATTATTGTATAATTAATGATTAATTAAAAAAGAAAAGAACTAAATTTTTAAATGTTTGCATAATTAAATATTTGCAATTTTATAATCATTGCTAAGATATTTCAAATAAAGAAAGTATTTGTCAAATAAGATTATAGTTTATTATGTTTTGATATATTTTGAAATTTTAAAAAATTTAATTTAATAACAAACGAATATATTTTTTGCATTTTTAATATCATTTTATAATAATATATTTCACTTCTAATTAATTTCAGGTGCTCTTTTACCACCAACAATGGCATGCATTATCGCAGAACAATTTCATCGTATAAAAAAATGTGATCGATTTTATTATGAAAATGATTTGTATGCAACGCGTTTTTCACCAAGTAAAAATTTATCTCACTTCTAATTTTATCTTTTAATTTAAGAAAGAAAAAAGGAATTGAAAAAAGAAATTTAAATTAGTATTATTATTTTATACATATATCTTTTTAAGGTATAATTAATTATGAATAGTTTTTCCTATGTAAATATTCGAAATGATCGAAATTGGCTAAAAAATTATTATTAGATCGATTAAGGGGAATTTTTTGCTTATTTCAAATTGAACTACAATGAATAAATTTTCAGAAAATCTACATTTAATTCCCTATTAATTAATCGATTTGTAATATTTTAGAAATCAGCTTTTAATTTCAGAAATCTATTTTTAATTTAATACTAATTAATTGATCTGCAATACTGTTTGATGCATATTTTGTTCAATGATATCATTTGCAGTGAATGAAGAGAATAAACTAAATTAAATAGATATAAAAAAAAATATTTCATTCTTATTCAAATTTCAGGACAACTTAATGAAATCAGGAAAGTAACATTAGCTTCACTTTTATGTACCAATAGTCGAATGCTAAGAAATATACAACCAAATGTATTTATATTACCTGATGAATTCCTGTAATTTTACTCTTCCTATTTGAATTCACAATATTTTTAATTTCATTTGCTAAATCACAAATCATCATAAGCATTTAGTTTAATGACAGATTTTTACAATATTGAAACACACTAAAATTATTGTTTAATAAACCTGAGAAAATAGTGCTAATTTTGTTAATCAATTAATAAAAAGCAACAACCTATTATTATATTTTTAATTAATAGGATTGTAAATATCATTATTATGATTTCTTTTAGTTCGAAAATTGTCGAAGTTTTCCTCTAAGTGTTCATTTGGATATTATCCGATAATGCATGTGATAAATAAAAATATGAATTAAATTTGATACTATCATTATCTATTTATTTCAATATGATTTCAATAAACGCTAATACTAGTTAGTTAAGTAAATGGATAATTCTGTTAATTTTCAACATTATAAAATGTAGTAGAAATTAAAATGAATAAATTCTAGAAATGCTCCAATTTCATGTGATCATTTCAAACATATCAATTTGGATCAATGGCTTGATCAACGTTAGTCTTATTTCATAATTAAAAATTTATTTAAATGATTATTTAAGATAAAGTTATCAATCTTAACAGTATATTATCAAAATCATTTTGCGTATTTTACATTCTTCGCTTCATTTTTTCTATAGTTTCTCTTATATTTATTGTTGAAATAATTGAAAATTTATAAAAGAAGAAAATATAATTTAGTAATTTTCAGCTCTTTGTTATGTCAGTAATATAGTAATGACACCAAATGTAACAAAACGTATATCACCTTGTCAATCTTGCTTGTGTACCACCAAAGGAGTATGTAATTCTAAATTAAAATATTCTTGTAAAATTCTTCGTAATTATAAAAACAAGTTAATATGTGTAAACTATATGAAATTTAGCTATTTATCTAAATTTTTAATAGGAAATTAATTTGTTAATATTGCTTTACTGTAATTAGTACGCTAGAATTAAATCCATTTCAGTTTCAATGTGTTACCGAAACGATCACAAACTGTGTGGCTCTCGTCAGCCAGTATCCTTTCGATGAAATCATAAAGGTTTACATCATAACTACTACATTATTCAAATATTGGAATTAAAACGAAACTTTATTGCCAATCCCTGAAATTTATATCTTTCAACCATTTCCCATCATTTCTTCGCCAGCATTATACATGGAAATGTCACTCAAGAAAAAGAAAACAGATGTTGTCTTTTCAGGATACTGCCTGCATGGCACAATGTGCTCATTTATTTTGGGAGAAAACTTAATTCTATGTAGTTGAACATCTATCATCGAAAAGAAGAAAATGGACTAGAAATTGAAGTATCGTCTTCTTATTTTTCTTCATCTTCATATATTTACTTTCATTTTTATCTATAAGTGTCCCAGAAAATCTTCCGGAAGGCAGTAGCATTGCATTGCATGAATATTATATGTTGCTTGGACAAGTTTTTTATTTCGACAACAAAAAACGGAAAATAATTCATTTGTTTGAATATACAATGAAAGATTTTACCAAATAATGAACACATCTTATTGCGCATACTACAGCAAAAAATTTCCTCAAAGGCATCCTACCTGATAAAATATATGAAAAATTTTGTCCATACAAGTATTCTTTACAAAACATTTCTTCATTAATTGGATAATGACGCATCACTATTATATACTTCGTGTGAATATACATTATCCAGTATATCTAGCATTTAGAATAGGTGTATCATTGCCAGCAGCGTTGCTGAACGATGAGCAGAAGCTGATCTTTTATACTAATGAATATGCGTTACTTGTATGTCGTAGCTGTCATTTGCTTGCATAACAATTTTCTAATGCATCTTTGGCTAGAAGGCTTTTCTTGCAGCAAGAAATGAAGTAATATAGCTTAAAAAGTAGTGTAGACCCTTAATTATCTATTATTTTATTATTTAACTTTACATATTTATCAAACTTAGTGTCTCAACTGTTGGAATTCAATAAGCCAACTGAAATACCCTACGGTTACAAAGGAATGGGAACCAAAATGACAAGATAACATTCACAACATGTTCCTATTCTCTTGCAGTGCAAATTACTCCCACGAATTTCAAAATGTCCCTTAGCAATAAACGATAATTTATTCGTATGATATACAATAGAAGAATATACAGTTCCACCGCTGTTGAAATATAAATAAAATAGTTGAGGGGTACTGTTTCATTAACCCTAAATGTACTTACTTTGCTGAGTATACAATAAGACTTGCTCACAACTATGTTACATTTCGTAATGTTTACTTCCCCTACGCAAAAAATTCAGACAGAAAACTGCACCAATCGAAAAGCCACATGTAACAATACTCTAAAACAAATTAGTGAACAAAATAGCTAACACTACTAAAACTGCTTTATTGGACAATAAGTTAGCCGCACGGTAATATCTCGTGTTTGTTTGCTATTTATTGACCTCCTACAGCAGCATTAGAAGCATTCTTAATTTCCTTCTCCATGGCTTCCGTTTCAGATTGACTCGCATCCGTAGCCGCTGAGCGACGACGTGTTGCACCATCTAAACCCTTATTTACCTGACTTTTGCATATAACCAAATTTCGCATTCCATTAATACCATTAATACCTACCGTAATTCAGAATGACACATGGATAGGAATTCATAAAGGAAAAAGAAAATTTGTGGGAGCGAAAACTAAGAAATAAGAGGTAACAGTTTGCCTCAAATTTTGTAATTTAAAAACTACTCTTGCGTGTTGACTGACGAACATCTCCACGGCCTTCACTGTAAGTGCCATTGCTCATGCCGCTATGATTATTTTCCTTCTTCGAATCTCCACCGCCATCTTCACCTTCACCATGGTCTCCACCACCAATGGATTTCTTCGCAGTAACTGGCGGACGGCGAGCTACAAAAGAAAAAGAAAAAAAAAACGAAATTTAATTGAAAATTGGTTAATAGCCTATATTTACTTGGAGATATTTATGAATTATAAGTAGCTCGCGTGCTAAAAAGTTTCGATGTTAATTACGAAATTACAAGAACCTCTAAAATTACGAATACGTCGACGGCGTTCAGCATTTGGCTTCTTTAGGTCTGCATTGTCACCTTCTTGCTTTTCGTTTAATTTGCGGTTCTGCTCATCATGACGATCTAATTGGATAATTCCAGTCAAAAAATCACAAAAAAAATCACATATTTTTTTCTCTACCAACACATCGCACTAATACTATTGCCGAAAGCTTTGGCATTGCATGGTAACTGATAATAACTGGTTTATTAATCTGTAGTCGAAGTCTACAAAAATTAGGCTATATAAAAAGTAATATACATTTGTTTTCTCGATGAACTCTTTCACGATTGTATGCCATGCGACGGAAACCATAGAACCGAAAATTGTGATATCTGCTACCACGAACCTAAAGTATAAAAAAGAATAAAGGCACTGTCCAGTATCATCCATTTGAAATCAAACAATTCTAATACGCATAACTTAGATAAGCTGGAAATTTTTAGAGTCATGGTTGCCACTATACCGTATTTCTGGATTTTAAATCTTTCAAACAATACCTCAGCACCATTTGGTCCGGTAACATTAGCGGCTTCAGGTCCTTGCTTTCCCTCAACAATATCGAAAAGAACTTCTTCGCCATCCCCTAGAGTACGCAGGTAATACTTAATAATCCGCGATTTTGCAATAGCTGTCTGAAACACTACATTGCATTAAGCCTCATTTAGATGAAAATCAAAAAATATATGCAAGAGTGGGAAACTTGCATTAGTACTCACTTAAATGAAAATTTATGGACCAATAGTTTTAAAATATTCATCAATGATGCACAAATCATCGTTTTCCTATCAATTGTAAAAATTATTATATTATATTGCCTTTGTTTGTGTGTTTATCATGCTTATCATATTATAATAGCACATAAACATGCCTGATGCACAAATACGTCGTTTCCTTTGCCATCATCACGTGCGATAAACCCGTAATGATAGCGGACACTGTACCACTTGACTCTACCCTTTACTCCTATAAATGATAATTTTTTATTCAACCTTTACTCGAATGGAGGTCTAATTTTAACATATTTAACATTGTGCCCTAGTAAGTCTAAAAAATTGATCAAATTATCATCGCTTTTGATAATCGCACAATCAAAGACCAATATCACGGCCTTTCTTTAAGCTTAGGGAAAAAGAAAAGTGAAAAGCCTTCTCACTTGTATCATATTCTTTTAGTGCAATAAATATTCATTTACCCTTTTCAAGAACGGGTTTTTTCGCCTGTTCTATTTCCCAAGCAATACGACGTTCCTCATCGGTAATGCGTGAACGACGCGATCCTTTAGCATTATTGTTTTGCCCCTAAAAAATTAAAGCATTACACTTTCGGCGCTAGACATGAATTCGATCCATTAAAATAATTTCGATTAAAATGAAATGGAATAGTATCAAAAATTTGAAAAACATATAATCAAGTATATTATAGGGATTTCAGTTATAAAATGCGAATATAAAGTTCTAAGGAGTCATTTGAATAAGATTAGCAACTTTCTACACAATGATGAACAAAAATACTCCCACACGGCCATCTGTTATGCAGATATTAAGAAACCACGACAGCACTAAAGATACGCTATATTCGAAAGAATTCATTACAATTACGCCAAATCCACTAATGATTACTTTGCCGCCGTTTTTGACATCCTGAATATTACCATTCGTGTCGATATTTTCCTTCTTACCGTCCACCTACAAAAATACCTAATATTTCTTCATTAATAAAATGTGACTTCTGAAAACTAACAAAACCTACTTTGTACACTTTTTCAGATAACTACTAACTCACAAAAACTAATGATTATGGAAAGACGAAAAAACTGGTGATGATGGAAGAGCTGTACATCATGAAAAAGTGCATCATAAAAAAATTTTCCTGCTTAACTTGCAAGCTTTAAGGATTTTTCAGGTTCACCAATGGTGAACTTACTCGACCCCTCATATAAAATTTACTGCTACGCTACTCATATTCATTAGTTATAAAAACTACATTCTGTCGCCATGTTATTCCGGTATTTGATTCACTACTCCCACCTGTGTTTCGGGCGATTAAGCTCTCATATAAACCAATATATAAATCATTAATCAAAAATCTTTGAAATGCGAAAAAAATTATTCTTGCAGTCTTTACTACCGTTATTTTTATTTAGGCTAAATAAGGCTTCCCAATGAAGAGGAATGAATACAATAGAGACTAAAGAATTTGTGGAAAAATATTGTACTGAAATGTGTAGCATTAAATTTCGATTCGTTTCATGCCTTGAACTTTCTTGCAACAAGCAAATCCAACTTCAAGATGATCCATCACAGCAGATCATACATAAAATTCCAGATTGGGAGATATTTTCAAATAAATATTTTCAAAAATAGTGGATAAAGAAAGACCTTATCTTCAGTAGCCACATGGGCTAATGGTACTGGAACGCCGCTCGACATATTCGCTCGATTGACAAGTCAAATCCCTGACTTATTCTGGATTCGAAGTCTCTATAATTTCAAATTATACTCAAATTTGCAAAAAATCTTCCGAAACTCTCAAATCCCTCCGACATCGCCAAGCTTTATATATTCAGTAAGCTGAACTCTTGTTCGTTTGGGAAACTTTGAAAAGTCAACACTCTTTTTCGATCATTGTAAATTTATTTGCAAGTTCACGCTGAACTCAATGACTTACGCAGCACCATACAGCCCTTTACTTGTGCCACTGACGCATGAAGTCAGTAAGACCTTAAATCGCTAGTACGGCAGGATAAACTAAACAGATGGATTTCACTGCATTAAGTTAATTCTCCAACAGTGAAGCAAAAGTTCACGGACTTTTTCTCTGACTGATCTATTGTCAGCAACTCCGTTTTCTTCTAACGCAATTATGATCATTGCATGCCACAAAACTTCAAAAAAAACAGATTAGGAATTCAGATCTTCTGCACAATAACTTAACCAAAAATTGTCTGAGGAATCCATGGGAAAAAAGAAACAATGAGAGTATCATCAGTTATGCCAATATATCCTGCTAAAAGGAGGAAAATCTCATAACATGAGGGAAACCTTAACATTTAGTTAAACTCATTGTACTGCTATGAGAACTCAATAGAGACGTTACTGGTATGATAAATTCAAGAAACAATGCAATTCCAGCATCATTATTTCCAAAATGATGCAATAATGGCAAAAAACTATTGACGTGAAATTTTTGAACTGCGAATAAATTATCTTCATTTATTATACACAAATAGCGTTTCTCTAAAAAATTCTATATCATGAATGTAGTAATATCCTGACAACGGCATTTCTCACACATACACAATGTCATACATCTTGAACATGTCAACACGTGATTACCCCTAGCACACAAGAATATGTCTATATTCGATGTATACAAGACGCAGATATGGATGTATTTTGTACTGTACGTGTTGATATCCTACATACATGCACATGCACACATGTTTTACATCTGGCGCATATGCACTTTTACGCATACCAACAAAAAACACGAAACGTACGTGAACTTGACCCGAATTCACCACGGCAGCAAACACAACCGCTGACAACGAGCACACTATAGAACAATGACGCAAGTTATCGTTGTAATTTGTACCCAAAAACTCAGCTACCGTAAGTAATGGTAGAGCCATTCCAAAAATAGATAAAGTGTTCAGGATATACACATAATTTTAATGCTGTATGTTTTTCCATATAAAATCCATTTTGGCACTATTTCCAAAAGAGGCAAATTCCGAATTCAGAAAAAAAGAATAGAATATTTCAAATATTTTCAAATATCAAGGGCAAATAATCCGGAATGTTTCGAATATCAAGTATAAACAATCGGAATTTTTTAAATATGAAGTGCTCGGAATGCTTAAGGAAGATATCGTATTCCTGTATATTAAATACATTTTCAGCTGATTTCAGATGATGATATATTATTGGCTTACTATTATTCATTTAAATCAGGTATGTTTCTTCGCAAAAAATAGCTAGTTCGACAAATCTTAGGTTTAAGAGGTAAATCTGGAATAATTCAATATTATTCGTTTGTATTATCCACTTGTTGTGTATATATTTAAATTAATCAACTTGCGTGTTACGTAACTATAGTTAAATATGAATATTATAGTTTTTCCGATTTAATTATAATTTATTAATAAATTTATATAGGGTATTTCATATGTGTTTCTATAAGCGTGAGAAAAGTGATATGTCACATTAAATTTTATAGCGGTAACATTATTATAAAAACTTGAAATGTAAGATGAATGATATGTTAGGTAAGGTTTATATTATTCATATAAGAACGAAAAAACATTTTTAACTATAAACTGTAAAAAGTAATAGTGTAATGCATAAGGTATGTAAAATATCCTCATTGTGCTCTTATGTATGATAGATGAGAATGCGAATGAATGTGAAATAATTGGACGGATATTTATCAATTGTGGTAAGTGTTGGATAAGTGGAATGAATACAAGAAGAGCGGAAATAATGAAGATAAATGAGGTTGAGGAGATGGATGATTGGAATGTTAGTTGGAGCTTTGTCTGCTCCACACTAACAATCGCACCATCAGCTTCATTCATTTTCTTCTACTCTTCCTGTATTTATTCTTATCAAACAACTGCTGCTTCATCGGTAACTTCATCTGATATATTTCCACATTTTATATTCGGTTAACTTTAACAAGCATGTTGATGTAGTGGGATTATTTCCGGTATGCTTTATCATCAGGATTATCGGACTACTTTTAAATGAAAACACACAGGTAGTTGTAATATAAGGAGGTTTTCTTAGAGATATGCCAATTTCAGATTTACTTCGATATTGAATTGTTTTCAGATAAGAAATGATGCAGTGGCTACTTTACTGCTTGCTGCTGGTTTCATCTACTATGGGCAATAATTGTCGGCGGAAATTATACGAAGCAAAGGAAGAGAAAACACCGGGTAATAGTGGTTTTGTGATTGAAATATCAAGCGCTACAAATACATCTGATAACAATCCCGAAGGTTACACACCAGGCGATAGTTATATCGGTAAGTAAATAAATTGTGAGTTTATCATGTTTATAAGATATCAGGTGTGCAAATTAATTTCTCAGCTATTTTTATTCAAAAAGAAATAAGTTATTTGTGATTGAACTACTACTGCATGATAACTCCAGCAGTTTTAAATTTAAACTCGAATTATTCCCACAAAGTTTTCATCTACTATGCAGTAAATAATTGTAGTGAAACTTCGAGGATGGCGCACAAAGTTTACCGTGCAAGCTTTCCGTGGATTTGGTATCTATGCACAATTTGAAAACGGGGAACATGCAGGAAAATTTGACGTAATCTTTGTTTAACGTAACTTGATGTAATCCTTCCATTTTATTTCCTGTATTTTCTTATTTTGTTTCTTTCGCACTCTTTGCATTCTTTTTGCCAGAATTGTAAAATTTAAATCTTTTAGAAAATGTTGGAAGTTCCTTCTTTATAAATCATTGAAAAAAACCAAAAAAAATGTTTTTAAAAAGCCATGTATTCATACCATTATTTGTTTTAACTTTTAACTGAAATACTGATGAGCAATGAAAATTCGATTGTTTTATAGCTTCAAGGACGAAAAGGAGAAGCTAGAATTGCACCAAACTGTCGCAAA